TTGATGATGATGACGTAATGGTGTTTTGTGGTGCAAGGGCCAAGGCTGGAAAGAGGGCTTTGTCAATTTATGTTGGAATGTCGATGAATCATGAGTAATAATGTGTTAATGATATCGTGGCTGTAAAAAGACCTAAAAGAGATATATACAACAAATGGAGGTTCGGTGCATGTACTGGGGTGGGCGATGAGCTACATTTCCAGGTGGTAGGAGGTTAAAATAGATTAGAGGTAGTTGACAAGAGATTAAAAATTGCGATGTTTCGTGAAAATGGCACTAATGCCTCGACAGCACCCTTGCTTGACCTCAAGGGCTTGGAGACATGCGCCTCTTAAGCCTATCGCAGCAGCAGCCTCTCCTGAGAGGCTGAACTACGACACTGTTGGGGCAATAACACGGAGTGTTCAATAATAATTTAAAAAGCCAAGAATCGAGCCTGTGCTGAATAAGGGGTCTGAGCCAAGGAATAGCACTGAGTGTAGTTGTATATTCTGTTTATACGCCAGTGGAAAGTGCTTTCTTCTTAGTGTGTCAAGTCTCCGGCATTCCAATAATGTGTGAAGGACTGTTAGTGTCTCGCCACACTCAGGATTACTGCCAAGGAGCAGGTAGGTGTGCGTATCGTATGTATGGCCTATTCTTAGCCAGCAGAGCATGACCTCAGTGCGTTGCACTTAACTACAAGGAGGTCATTTTCCCATCTGTGGTTTGATTAGGTGAAGTTTGTTCGAAGCCCTAGCATCCCACAATCGCTGCCAGTAGTCACTCACCTTTCTGCACACAAATGTTTTAAGATCTAAGGCAGGAAGACCTATAGAAAGGTTTCTAGATTCTGTTCCTATGGTAGTAGCCATTCTGTCAGCAAGCACATTGCCTTCAATGCCCCTATGGCCTGGAACCCAGCATATTATTACATGTTGTTCTGCTAGATACACTTTGCGCAGAGCTAAAACGAGTTAGACAAAATCGGATTTTTGTCCGTTTTTAGTGATTTCAAAGCTTTGACAACACTAAGCGAGCCTGTATAGATAACTGCCTTCTGGAGCTTCATACTATAAATATACCTTAATTGTGCACTGGCTACTGCCTCACCTAAGAGGAGATGCTACTCCGAAAATGCAAGTTTTTTTAAAACTACATATTTGTTTTACTTCCTCTAGCTTTTTTTTTCACTCTGAACGCTAAAAAATTTAGGTTTTAATTAAACCCAAAGCAGGTTAAAATCACTTTTAATAAGAACAAGGCTCTTTAAGAAGGCCCTGCAACGCTTTGTAAAGTAGCTATGGAATGAATTCACTAAAAGAGCTTTTCGCCTCACAAATTCACCACTGCCAAAATTTTTAGAATCCGCCCAGTACGAGCGGAGTTAAAAAGATTTGTCGCACAGTACAATCGCATTCTCTTCTCTTGTCTATACGAAAGTGTTGGGAGCTAAGCAGAAAGGGATGGCACAGGGAAAGAAAAGCCATGTGCCCCTCATGAGCTAGCGCAATTTCTTTCTTTTTTTTTTCCTTTGAATACGCGGCTTTTCAGTGTGATCGCACAGACGCGCGGACAAGTTGCGGCCTCCCACAGTGGCCCCCTCTAATCCTCTAATGACTGAGCATGCCATGCTCAAATAAGCCAATATACAATGGCTGTGACGACTGACTTTTGAGCTAGTAGCATAATTTGTCGAGAGAAGAGAAAGCTATTTCTAGCAATGTATTGTGAATTTCAGGCCGCGTGCCATGCTATAATATTTGCCTCGCATGTTCTCAGGAGCCTAGACTACCAATTGACAGAGTTTTCTGACCGTGCTCAACAAGTATTGCAAGGCACTTTTAAGAGCTCTAGACAATTAGCACTAAAGAGAGCTCATTGCCTGGAGTGCCCTGGAAATTGCCACCTGGCTGCTTGCCATTGCATTTTGCATGAGGTGTTCCCCCAAAACCACATACTCAATATAACCATGATTCCAAAGTTCTCATGATGGAAGAAATCATTCATATCTTTGCCATATAGATGTGCTTTTATTTCTACCCTTAAAATGTGTTTTTCTCAAGATGCAATTTTGGTCAACTTCTTGAATTTGGACATCATGTTTTTGATACTTCTGATGACTAGATTGCGATGAAATCTTCTTAACATATTCATTAACAGAGTGAAATTATTTCCTTTAAAATGTGGTATCACGTATATAGGTATAATAAACTCAAAGCAATTATTATGGGCTGCACATTTTAAGAATTATTACATCACACTTTTTCTTGTTCATTAAAATGTCAAACACTTTTTTGTTAGTAATTTGAGTTGTACAGGTAATGTAGAGCAATATGAGCCATTAACGGCTGATAACCATAAAAATTTAAAGGCTGAATAAGTGTGTCCAAGATGAGCTATATTTTATAAACTGTCATGATACAAAACGAAAACTGTGCAACTTACTATAAAAATAATAACACATTAGAACTCAGCATGAAAGCCTATGTTAACAGAAAAAAGTTCCTTGCTCTAGGCTACAGATTAAAGCACTTTTTTTTAAATATCATTCCCCCGCATCCACAGTAGCATCCACAATGTCATGCGAGCATCACCAGCAATGTTGCCGTGTCAAAGGAAGGTGGAAACCGTAGTTTCCTGTGCCAGGCTAGCGCATCCGTGATCATGTGATACAGTTCTTATGCACACCGATTTGCCACTGCACTACATTGATTCTGCAATTGAAATGCACTACGAGCACTTTGACATGTGCAAGGAGCACTGCCTTGTGCTAGCTGTGCACTTTGCCAGCACTTAGGCTTAACCTTACAACTGGTGTTCGGCAGTTTGACAGGCATGATTTCTTTTGCGAAAAATGAAACAGGCCTTTGCACATCCAGCACCTCATTCTGCATGAACGCAATGCTCACAATGTGCATTCCTGACGATGGCACTGTATGGTTAGCCAGTGCAGCGCCGCCTGTATTTTATCAATGCCAGCCAGGTGAGCCCAGTTCAGCCGTCCACCACTGTCTCCTCTAGCCCTTTCCTGCTCTTGTCCGTTGCCTAGCCTTCGGGTGTACTTTGCGGTCATGGGGGGAAGAGGATGGCTCATGGAGTGCCTTACGATTGAAATATAAAATAATTTTTCATTCAGTTGTGTACAGATCTGAGGGGCAGCGTCTTGCATTCCTCGTGTTGACAATAATGGCGCTCATGCTGGCTTTATATCAGATACAGTGCTTAGAGATAGCTTGTTGCTGTTCGTGGCACTACACGGGCAACCAATGGGGAATCGTCACAGCAACGCTACTGCATGTGCTGCGCATTGATGTGGAGGCAGCATTCCTTCGAACCAAATCCGACAGATGCAAGATATTGTAGAGGGACATGCAACTATTGCATCTCCCTGGGAAAGCGCTCTAATGCACCTGTGATGCAAGCAGCCCTACCTCTCATGCGGCTTCGCATCATGACCACTCTCTGAACTAAGGCGGACTGACGGCTCCCGTTGAAGAGCATGTGTTTGTACTGGCACTGAAAGAAATGAAGGAGGCGTTGGCCAGTATTTTACATGACTCACAGAGCAGTGCAGAAAGAGAGAAGGGGAGGAGAAGTCACCTGTCTATGTCTTATTATTTCACATCAACAGCGATGGCCTTTTAGATTAAAGACCACTGACCAAAGCTGCGGTAGCCTTAGTAGTTTGGTTGCACATATCCAGAAGAGTTTTCGTACACACTCTCCTCGCCCTTAATGCAGATTTTCTTCATGCTAAAATTACACGACTTAAGAGCTTAAGTTAGGGGCACTGCAGCACTCTGGAGGTTCTCCAAGCCAAAAAATTTGACAACTCCTACCACAGAGCTTCAGTATTTAGATGAATTGTTCCGACAGTTGTGTTATCCACATTAGTAACTCAAAAAAATATGCGGCACTTTTGCAGAACTATAAAGCTCCCGTAACGTCACTTTATCCCAGAAGAAATGGTTGTGGCACTTATAGCATGGACTGAATGCCACCATGGAATGCGAGCTTTCAAAACTACACAACTGCAAGAAAATTCAGGATTATCCAAGGAAATTCTTTTCTGCAATGTCATCATCAAAATATCTTCTTTAAAAGGGTCATGAATCACCCCCACCCCAAGAGTTTTGTGGGAAAATGTATCTTGCTGATAGCAGACACTGCTTGGAACATTTTAGCCAAATTTTGTCATCATGAAACGGCAAAGAGAGCTTACTTGTAACTGCACTCATTCTCGATAGATTCAGAAAATTTTTGCAGCTATCATTTCATAAGGCAATAAACTGCAATACTGAGGTCATTCAGTGATTTCTTGAAAAAGTGATTTATGACATAACTTTTTGAATGAAACACTGAAACCTAAACAGAAACTACATTTAGAGTGATTGAAATGACCCCCGACTCATTGGCCCTCTATATTACAGAACAGAATTTAAAAGAATGCCCCCTTTAGAGAGCCAGTCAACAGGCTCATACTGTGTTTTACACCCTCCCAAGGAAGCTTGGCTATTCATAGAGTAGACCGCAGCAATCACATTCTCAGGATATCACAGTGCTGTGCGCCCCACAGATCCTTCATTTCAAAAACGATTCCCGCGCTCTTTTTCTAAGCCCGAAGTAAAGTAGCCGATTGGCGACTTGACAAAGCCTGCAGCTCGTCGATTGGTATAAACCAGTCTCTGCGACAAGCTACGCCTTTCCCTCCCTGTGAGGGAGAAAGGTGGTGAGGCTGCACAAAAATTTGAAACCAGCTGAAACCGTCGTTCTAATCCTTGTAACTTATCTAACATGAAACGTATTCGCAAAATCCTTCCGGCAGCTTGTTCACGAAGCAAAAGTGCGCATATTTCTCTTTATAACAATTTTTTGGGTTGTTTACTGGCCCTTTACTAGTTTGTAAACAGATTATAAGACAAAGTGGCATTCAACTTTTGAAAACACGTAGAAAGAGCCTCACTTTGCAAGCATTCAAGTCCTTTGTGAAAAATAATGTGAATGAAGAACACAAAATCTTCCAAGCTAGAGAATCACTTTACTTGCTCACAGCAGTAAACAGCAGCCAGCTGCTTGGGTGTTGTTCATGTACTTGCTCAGTATTAACAAGCACACGTCAAATAAATACACGTCAAAGACAGTTGGTCATACCAACTCACTTCTCCAAGATGTTAAGACAGGCACACATAAACATACACAATGGTAGACGACATGCAGAGCTCAAGAAACACTTTTTAGGCAAGCAGGCATTGCTCCCTTTTTAACACTGAACAAAAATATTCTTTGCTGGTTATGTGCAACACCGGAAAGATTGTGCAGATACAATAATACATGTTAATTATATATAAAAAAAAGCACAGACCAGACACGAGTGATTCGCACATGTATACACATGTACAGAGTCCATGTTTTGTGCCTTTGTGTCAGTATACAGTTCGCAGTTTTAAACACGTACTAATAGATTACTATCAGCACGCAAAATTTCCACTCTAACATATAATTTGCAGAGACGATATTTGCAGTGTTATGCTTCAACTTGACACACAAAAAACAAGCATTGGCAACTTGCAAGGCCAGGAGAAAGGCTCATTCACAATGGCAACTTATCAAAGAGCCACAAATTGTCGCTTTGGTTGTAGAGCGACTTTTGTATCTGTCACTCGCTGCTTGATTTGTCAATTGCCAAGCTGGGGAACCAACCAGGGTTTTTTTTCTTTCCTTGTGAGACAATGATTGCACGAGCAGATGTGAATGGCACTAGTGCGAGGCATTTAAGGGTGGAAATGGGCAGCTAGTGCTAGCTGGAGTAACATTTAAGCTAGTTGTTTGTCACCACTAGGGACCTAAGCTTGGTCAACACCTTGTGAGTGAGCTTTTGTAGGCGTACATTAGTCAAGGGTGCAGTGCCCCAGTAGTAACATTGTAGTGCTAAAATTCAGGAGCCAACTGAAATGGCTTTTTTGGGGTGTGAATATTGCAGAAATATTCAAATTTACTCATGCATGCACTTCCAAGAGTATCTGTAAAGAGTGCAGAAAGAAGCATGCACTACGACTTTTCAACTTTTTTTTTTCGTGTCCTGTGTTCATTCCTGCTGTAGGGGGTCCACTTCCTATATTTCAAGCTGACAGCTTAAAAAAGAAAACATGTATTATTAATTGATTATTATAGCTGCATTTATTTGAAGCTTGCCATCAATTATTGAACAGCTGTCCACAGGAGCTTTAATAGGAGGGAGAAAAAGATAAGAGAATGAAAATAAAATAACACCAGACTCAACTCTTGCCTTTGATGCCACTACACTGGTGCAAAGGCATTCAATACACCACAAACCACTGTAGCACATACATTCAGACTCTAATCAGTAAACTAATGAGGCACACATATGCACACACAGATCCATACATGCACAAACACACTTGTTCTTGTAACAAACCCCACAACGAAAACCATGTTCTCGTGTCAGTCCTGAACACTGAAGTTTGAATGTACGGCCTCGTTCACACCTTCCAAACACCAAAAAATCTCAATCAGCCCTTGATAACCGCAATGGGCCTGAGCTTAATGCACTTGCGGCTGATGCCAGCCTCGTGGCACGTGTTTACAACGTCCGTCACATTTTTGTACGATTCTGGAGCTTCCTCCATGACCAGCTTCGGTGAGGCCACGCGAATCGAGATGCCCATCTCGTTCAGCTTGTTCAGTACGTCCTGGTAATCGAGGTTTCGACGCGACTTGGCCCGGGAAAGTGCTCGGCCAGCACCATGACAGGTGGTGCCGAATGTCTCGCCCATGCCCTGCTCGGTGCCCGTCAGAACATAGCTACAGGTTCCCATTGTGCCGCCAATAAGCACCGGTTGACCACTCAGCTGTGTTGGAGAGATGGGAGAAAATCACCAGGAAGAAAGTTATTTACACAGGTTAGTAACACATGTGAAACTACAACCATAGTCATGTGCACAAGGGAAGCAGGGGAGGCCAAACATAGAACATTGGTCTTACAGCTAATAAACATAACATCCGGAACATGCCAAACAACATTTGTGCAGTAGCCACAGTGTAAGAAAAATAATTTAGGTGTTGAGACTCCGCCCACGAAGCGTCTAGATTGTGTTTGGCGCTTTTGTTCCTCATAGACCCCTATGTCGTAATACCCCCCACGAGGAACTATGGCTGGCGTATGTGCTGTAGACGATGAGGCGAGGCCTAGAAGATTGGGCGCGCAAAATCCAGAGGCTATGGATGAGGGGTCCCAGCCGTTTCACAAATTCGCGGCAGACTGTGAAGTGTTGTGGCTTGTATGACATGTGTCGGTCTGTTTTATAAGTGAGATGATGCACTTATACAGACAGAAAATTTTCTCCGTACTAATGTTATAACAAACTATCTCGGAGACAACTGTGGTGTTCGGCACACGTAGTGTTTTTCGCGAACTAAACTCTGCATGAGCTTCCACCTACAGTAGCTAGAGTGCCAATGTTCGCTGCCTTGGAAATTCGCATTTTCTGCCAAGCACTGGCTGATGCAGCAACGGTCTTGTCATGAAGTTGCAGACCCTCCGATAGGTATCCGCCGCAAAGTATTTTTTCTGTATACAGTCGCCGACCGATTTTCCGGACTCCAAAAATTCGGACTTGTTGGATATTCCGGACTTCATAAGTGCACCGTCAGGGATCCCATAGAGCTAATGCATTGTTTCGACCGATTTTTCAGGCGAATTTGCCCCTGAAAGTTCGATTTTTCGGACTAAATCGCTCGTTTTGTGCCACGCCCCAAGCCATTGTGAACGCCGCCATGTTGGATTTTCCGTCGGCTTGGCTAAGCTTGGTCTTCAGATGCCTTTCCTGCCTCCGAGATTGGAATGCGCACGCCATATTTTAAGTTTCGGAGGCCGTGTTTGCTTTTTAAAAGACGCGGTGATGGATGCCGTTTTTTCGTCTTCGGTCAGCACTATCGTCATCACATCGCACGGGGAGGAGGTGAAAGAAGGATTCTTTTATTGTCGTTGCAGCTTTTTTCAGTCGCCATTCTGCACGTGTTGTGTCGCGTAGCGTCGAGACGTTGGGTGCTTCGCAGCGGCTATCTGCGGCATCGAATTTTGTGTTCTCGGTGCCATGGCTCCGCCATCTGTGCCATCGCGGGAGCCAGGTGGTGTGAAGAAGCGTGCGCGGAGGCCACTGACAACGAAATTCTTCGCCAGGTTGTCCCGGAGCCGGAGAGCGGCTCGGATGACGACAACGACGACCGCCCGCAGCCGTCGGCGGCGGAGATCGCCAACGCGGTGACAATTTTGTCGAGCGTTTACGGCGACGATGTCACCTTGGTGCAAATACGGGCAAACCAAATTGCCTCCAAGCGTAGTTTGAGGCAAGGCAGCATCAAGGACTTTTTTAAACCTGCCTTATGCAATAAACTTCAGATTTTTGGCGAAAACGAATTTTTCGGACTGTTCGATTTTTCGTACTTTTTTTCGGTCCCCGCCAGGTCCGAAAAATCGGTCGGCGGCTGTACTGTGGTATCCACTGCCATCATTAGACTGACAGACAAGCAATGATGTTGCTTTATGTGGTCAATCGCATCTCACAAGTGTCCTCACCTAAAGAGTATATATACAGTTAAACCTGGATCTAAAGAAATTGACAAATTCCCAGAAAAATTCGTTATAAAGAGAATTTCATTATATGCAATTTCATTACGAAAATTTGGAAGATAAATGCTTAAATTAAACAAAAGGGGATTGAAGGCAGAGCTAACCCAATACACTTATTCAGTGGTAAAAAACTGCCTTATTATTGTGATGGCTATTATGTAGACACTCTCGGCTGGTTTTTGCCATCGCCGCCGTGTTCCGTAACAAAAGTCCAAATTGATAACATTGATTGATATGTGGGGTTTAACGTCCCAAAACCACCATATGATTATGAGATACGCCGTAGTGGAGGGCTCCGGAAATTTCGACCATCTGGGTTCTTTAACGTGCACCCAAATCTGAGCACACGGGCCTACAACATTTCCGCCTCTATCGGAAATGCAGCCGCCGCAGCCGGGATTTGATCCCGCGACCTGCAGGTCAGCAGCCGAGTACCTTAGCCACTAGATTACCACGGCGGGGCCAAATTAATAACATGCCCCCGCGTATCCCAACTTTTACGAGCAAGTAAAAGCACGCGAACGCTGCTGAAGCAGAGATCAAATGAGCCGGCCCATCTCTACCGCCTGGAGGGCGCATACAATAACATCCTCCCACGTGCAAGAACTGCTGACAAATGCACAAACAGAAAGGAAACCACCCGTCTTGAACGGGCATGAAACGATGCAGGGGGGGGGGGAAAGGGGGTTGGATGATAGTTGCTCGAATAGCAACGGTGAACATTGATTCAAGGGCGTGGTCACAATCACTGGCACGCGTGCTATTTCAGCAAGTATCAGTGCGCTTTGAACACGAAGAGACTGTGTGAAAAGAGCACTTCTCCCTGGAGCAGCCGACCGTATTGGCTCAAACCAGCGTTTTGTAGGAGTTCCCTGATATCGGATCCAAAAGAGTTGACTGCCACCCTTACCTCGCATTACAATATCATTACTCGCTATCGCATTCATTGCATTGCATTCAACACGTCGTCGTGTTGTTGCCAGAGCAAATCGGCTAATCTCAACTCAAAGGCTATGATACCGCGAACTCGTGGCAAGTCGACCTACGAAAATCCGTCGTCACCGTGGTCTCAGAGAGCTTCCGTCAGCGCCTAATCTGGCATTTCCTGGGTAGTGACGACACGGTTGTCCGCATTTAAAATAAAAAGCAAAAAAGAAGCAAAGCTGAACATTAAGTGCACATGGAATCGAAAACGAAAAGTGAACAGCATGGATACTGCAGGAAACTATTTGGCAAAGCGCCCTCCATATGCAGCGTGGCTCCACATATGTGACACGAACTGAAAGCACGGCACTGCCAATGCAAAAGTAATTTTTTTTTTGCTTTTGGTTTGGAGGGGGTGGGGAGGGCACATCCACGCATGCGCCCGCGGCGACAAGAACGGCGGCAACGCCAGCGCAGGCCCGCGCTCGCTTTCGCCTGAGAGTTGCCAGGGCCACGAGCACGCTGTGCGCGCCGCCGTTGCTCCTGGCTTCGGTGGCGCACCCACAGAAGATGCATGCTCATGCCAAAATGACGAAATTCCTAGATTGTTCGTGGGGAAAATTCGTTATATCAAGGATGTCTCCCGCTGTTACTTTGTTACACGGAGGTCACGAATTACATGTGCTTGTATGGAGTAACGGTTCGAAATAGAAAAACTTCGTCATATCGAGGAGTTCGTCATAGGGAGGTTCGTTATAGGGAGGTTCATTATAAGCACGTTAAACTGTACTTTGCACCGTGAGCATGACAAAACGCGAAAAATAGCCCGAAACAATGCTACCAGCCACTTGCTGGATTACCCAAGTGAGAAAATAAAAATAAAACCGTGCTTTTGCCTCATCGCATTCAGTCCATCTAGGCCCCCACGTTGCAGCACCCCCCACGTTGCAGCACCCCCCACGCAACCACAGCCGGTGCACGTGCTATAGCCTAACATTATCTGGACATGTCCTGTGACGCGGCGGGTAGATAGTGTCAATACCTTAAGAATTTTTGTTACGCTGTGACAGAAGCGCATGAAAATCCAAAAAAGTTCAGTCTATAACGGAGGCCTTGAAGGGACAAAAATTATCACAGAGTGTTGCTAAAGCCAACATTTGAACAACAGGTCTTGTCTCTGTCACTGCAGCAATTGATTTCCTCCACAGCAACCCTCTAGTGAGAATTATTTTCAGCAGCGTATAATCAAATGCTTCTGTAAATAATCACATATAACAATGCCTATTACAAGGAGTTAAAAATATTTGGCAGACACAAGCACAGACGGCACACTTGCACAGCTGCCAAGACAAGCCTTTTGCTTTCTCTCTCACTGACAATCTCCCAGTTTTCCCATCTTAACACTACAATGAGCGCATTTCGATAAGATTAATTTTCTCTCAGACTAATAGAAAGCTTCAAGAATTTCTATTAATTCATTTTCAAAAAACATACCCTTTGCTACCAAAGTAAGTGAATCGTTAAGTAATGCACACATACTATCTTCGGTGGCCACCCTTCTTGACAGCCCTGTGGAAGCTACAGAACCGAAGTGCATGCCTGCTACCCTGCCAAAAGATAGCACTTAAGTTTATCAGCGAAACCCCCTCGATCCATTTCTTTTTTCGCTGAAGTCTGAGCTAAGAACGAAAATGACAGAAGCGAAAAAGTTTTATTACAACACGACGTTAACAACATACATGAAAGAAAACCCATCAAAATTTTGGAAATCAATACTTCCCTCTTCTCATGACTCTACAGCATTCATTATCAACGATCAAACTTGCACTGATCCTGCCACTATTTCAGAAGGCTTCAACAGATACTTTCACTCTGTTTTCAGCCAAGATGATGGTTCTCGTCCTCCTTTTATACATAGCTCAGAACACGCGTTGCCGAATCTCGAGGTAACTCACGCTGGGGTTCATAACCTGTTGCTAAAAATTGATACGACTAAAAGCGCAGGACCTGATGCCATACCGAACATGTTCTTGAAGAGATACTCAGAATGGAATGCCCATTATCTTACAGTGATCTTCAATAAATCTCTGGAAACCTCAATTGTTCCCAGAGCTTGGAAAATTGCCAGCGTCGTTCCAGTATATAAATCTGGTGATAAGCAGCTTATACAAAATTATAGACCAATATCTCTTATTTCGACTTGCTGTAAGCTTCTTGAACACATTATTCATAAACATATTGTACAGTATTTAACTTTCCACAGCCTCCTCTCACAAAGCCAGCACGGCTTTCGCT